CAGTGTGTTTTACAGCCTTCGAGTGGCTCGCTGTTCACCAGCGTTTTGGTACCAACACTCCGGTGAGTTAAATCGTTCTATCCTGGGAGGATATATTCCAGCACCTCGGGTATTTGAGGGGAATAATTTCCTTAAGGACACACTGTGTATTCAGTGGGCTCGATTTATTCCTATACTATTTTTTTTCCAGAATCTATTTCGTTAAACAAGTATTACTAACTTTCTGTTTTGTTTTTTCAGAAAGTTTATTTGTTTATTACAGTAATACAGAATTATAACATGTTCAAGTCTCATATTCTCATTATCAAAAAGAATTTCCACGTATTTGGCTCATATATATATAAGAAAGAATCAAGTGCGTGTTCAAGATATAATCAAATAAATAAAAGTGTATTTTCTCTAACCATTTAAGATTTCACAAATACGCTAATCACAACCCACGAAAACCCCATCAACCAAGATTGTAAAGAGAAGTTCAATATGAATAAAAAAGCTGAGTTAAATAAATTTACCAGTGCTGGTTTTTCAGGATGCAAAGCATCAGCAAGAAGGTAAGTATAGGTAGATGACTCCTTCTCAAATAACTGACGAAAAAGTAGTTTAGAAGGCATGCTTTGTGCTGAAGACGACGTCGTGTAGGAACCCAGTTTTTGTGAAAATGTAAAAGGAAGAAAACTATGAGGTTTTGGCAAGAAAATAGAGAAGTAAGAAGAAGGTGATGATGTTGAGAAAAGAAAACAGCGGAAACTCAGCATCATTATTAAATGGTTATGATTGTATTTGTATAAAATGTCAAGATTTCAAAACCAAAGAAGAAGTTGTGACCAATTCCAATAGAATTTCCGATTGAGAATGATTTGCATTTGCATTAACGGGAGTCATACGTGCTTTACACGAAAGTTGATGCCTTTAACTTCTAAATCCACTTTCAATGGGCGTTGGCGGTAAAAGTGTCCACTTGTAAACTTCCCATATAGCGCACTATATGACCCAAGTGTCTAGAAGCTTTGCGCCTTAATTGATTTCTTTTTTAGTTATTTTCACGCATATAAAAAAATTTATCTTTTAGTATTAATTAGCAATAAAATTGATTATATTAATATTAATTTGTTCATTGGACAACTTTAAAAAATAGAAGTTAATTTCTTCAAAAAATCAAATATTATGGATAAAAAAAAGGGACATAAAATCAATTAAATCGGACCATAGAGAGTAAAGATTATCCTTTTAAGTTGCCTCCACGTTGAGATTACTATAACCAAAGACCCTTCTATCTCAAATAGATTTAAATAAAAAATTTGCTTTTCCTTTTTTTAATTTATTTCCTCAATAAAATTAATGGTCTAAAGTAACATTTCTTCATCATTGACTCAGCTACTACGTGCTAGCCCCATCATCAAAGGTATGTGATAACTTTAGTCACCAAAGTTTCAGCAATATATCTATAAAAAACATTCACGGTTAAAATAATATTTTTCTAAGTTGTTATCATCTAATGATCTCAATTCGTATATTATCTTTTTCTTTTTGTTTTGTAAACATATAGCTTCATCATTCACTCAGCTACTTACCTGCTAGCTCCCATCATCAGGGGCGGAGCTATAGTAGTGGGTGCGGGTTCGGACGAACCCAATAACTTTTTTGGGAACCCTGTATTTATATTGAAATATTTACTAAATCTATATAAATATATACTGCCGAACCCAGCAACAAAAGGGGTCTTGGTTCAATGATAAGGGTTGTGGGTTCGCTGGGAAAGATGGAGGTTCGATTCCCCCTGAGAGCAATGTTTTATTTTAAAATTTAGAACTCGAACACTTAAATTCCTAGCTCCGCCTCTGCCCATCATCAAAGGTATGTGATAACTTTACTCACCAAAGTTTCACCAATATATCTATAAATAACATTCACGATTAAAATAATATTTTTATAAGTTGTTATCATCTAATGATCTCAATTCGTACAATTATTTACAAGATGAATTTTACAGATTGAGATTATTAATTCTTTTTTCACTGTAATTGAGATTATTAGTTGATAAGAACTTATAAACATTATCTTAACCGTCAAAATTAACTTGATAGTACAAAAGTTCTGAACCTCTTAAAAATACTTTTGAGTAGAGATGTTGTAGAGAGTCTTATGTTATGTTCCTTAGATTTAGATTGATTCGTTGACTGTATAAAAAAAAGAGACAGCTAAGCACAACAAACTGCAGAATATGAGTCTGATTTAATAGTCGATATGGATTTTAAAAAATTATACTTTTGCTTAACTAACAATATTGTTTATCGAGATCATGATCTGATTTGACTAGTAAAAAATTGTATAGGTCTGAACATGTGGATAGAAACTAATAATTTTTCTCTTATCAAGATGCCATAATCAAATTAGTGTTTCTTTTTTCAGTTTTCCACCACTGTTGACTTAATTTGGAACATCTGTTAAATAACAATTGTTTTATTTTATTTTTTGAATTAAAGAACCCACAATAAAAATTTTTTGAAAAGAATTGTAAGTGTTTACCCTTAAAACGGATAACAATTAAATTTGTACGCGATTTAAAAAATATGTAATTTTATTTAACACAAATGATTAAAGAACAATAAATAATTGAATTAAAAGGAGATAAAACGATCAAACCAAATGTGACGAAGTAATTAAGCCCGACGTTAGATTCGAGTGCTAAAGATCGGTTGCAATCGAGTCTTCGGAATAGAGCTCGATTGCAACTAAATAGATGAACAACTACAGAACACATGACCAATTGTTCTAAGCCAAAAATAAACTTTATTGCTTTGATATGCGTACCAACAGTAACCCAAAAAATGAAAAGGTTCTCCCCTTTATATAGTAGGGGAGTTTTAACCCCAATACAAGTCTAAATAAGATTAAAAAAATTTCCTTCTTTTTCTCTCATGAAAACACGATCTACAACCAATATCGAGCGTGATCCGCACCGTAATATCCAGTTGATGGCAGATATTTCGGCTCTCAGTTTGTTTTCTTTAACAGTTTTTCCCTTTACCCTCGATTCTTCATATTGCTCGAGCTGGAATCTCTCTGGGTTCGGCCATGCTCGATTCTCGACATATCATCTATCTGCTCCTGGTTCTGATTTGCGGGCACCCTTGGCCTTACTCGAGCTAGTAACAAGTAACGTTGTTCCTCGATTCTTAGCAAAAAATCGTGGATAACTTTATTTTCGATTTTACCTGTACACAGATAGTCCCCTCACTTTTCGGAGAGTAGATTATAGGAGCGATGAGAAGTAACTAATTGACCCCGGTTCCTTCCTTCGCACACCATAAGCAAGTTGACAAACTGAAATGTCCCATCAGCCACGTCACTTTGATTTTGGACACGCGTCAGCCGCCGGTTGATCATCCTTGACAATTACTGTATGTGAAATGTCATGCATTCATTATTCCTTCCCTATAAAAGCTCCGGTTTCCTTTTTTCACTTTTTTACTTTCTGATTTCGAACTTCCTTGAGTTACCCTCAAGTTTTTCATATGTTCATCAATCCTTCAAATCTTCATAACTTGGTCCTCATATCTTCATATCTTCATATTTTATCTTCAAACCTTCATACCTTACTTTCAAATCTTCATACCAACTCTTCAAACCTTCATACTAAACCTTCAAACCTTCATATTTTCAGATAGAGATGGCTAAGACTTCGAAATCAGTACCCCAAAATACTGCATCCATGACTTCTTCCCCGACCACTGGCATCGAGGCAACACTTCCGGTATTAGCCCCGGGAGCCCCCTTACAGATTTCATTCCCGGAGGCTGCTCCATAGATAATGACTTTAAGGTCAAGAAAGTTTCCGCACAAGGAGACGGAGGTGAGGAAGCATAGAGATATATTTGCTCCATCACCGAGGAGACACTTAAAGTAGTCCCAGAGGTATGTAAATGAGAAGGCAAGGACATAGTCATTCCCAATCCCGACGAGGACATCACAACACATATATATGGATATCTAAGTGTTTACACGTATCATTTCACGTTCAGTCTGGTTGATACGGTGATCCTCGAGTTCTGCAAGAGGTACGAAATCTGCCTCGGGCAGATTCATCCGTCTTTTTGGATGATCGTGACCCTTCTCTATCACTTTGCTAAAAATACGGAGGAGCCCCGGTTCACGGTTGACCACCTACTCCGAGTTTACAGCCCCCGAATCTTCTGAGAGGGGTTAATCAAACTTGCCCGTCAGGCAAATAAAGCTCTCTCCTCATGTATAGACATGGATAGGGACAGAGGCTGGTAGGGGAGGTTTGTTCGGATATAGACCGAGGACCTCATTCCTTCCAAGTTCATGCCGTTCCCCGAGAAGTGGAACCCAAAACGTAAGTTTACTTCCTCTTATGTCATCAAAGTACTTCTTTGTATCTATTTTTCTTTCTCATTATTTGTTTCATTTGACATGTAGCTGTCGCCCAGGTCCCCAATGCGGTCCTGCATTTTAGGGAGTAGGTCGAGGGCATATGCAAGCAACTATCCTATCCCGAGCGTGAGTGCGTAAGCTCTCCAAAGGTAAGTGGGAGGCTCGTTCTCATGGTGAGTGCCCCTCTTTTTTGATTGAATCTTTCTTAGGGTCATTTTTTTATTATGTCATTGTTATGACTAAGTCTTCTTTTCATAGTATTGCCCAAGACCACAAAACTTTGGGAAATCATCGATGTTGTGGCCTCGGCCCTGTCTACAAAATCCTCCACTTCACAACAGCCCGTTGCCGATGCTGTTGTGAAGAAGGAGGAGAGAACGAAGAAGAAGAAAAGATCCCCTGACTCTTCGGATGCTCCTGCCGAAGCCAAGAAGAGGAAAAAGATTGTGCTCCAGGTAAGAAAAAGCACCAAAAAGGCTTTCGTTGCCCGGGTCCCGGATTTCGAGGCTCTTTACGGGCTCAAGGACTTTCTCGAGGACGACGATGACATGGAGTTTATCACTGATAAGCCGATTGATGCTGATCCCCAGAGTAGCCGTTCCTGAAGAAGACGCCATCATCCATATTCAAAAATCACCGCCTCGGCTGAAGTCCACTTTAAACGAAGCTCGGGCTGCCAAGGAGAAACCAACCGATGCGTCTCAGGCTGTGGATGATGCCCGTCGGCATGCTGGAGGATTACTCTAGCTTTGGACACCTGGAGATCCCAAAAAGAGTCGCGCAACCGGGAGCATGTGGGCCGAGTTCGAGCTCGAAGCTTGAGAAGTAGTTTTCGGCCCCGAGCATGGACCCTGAGCTAAAGAAGATGGTCATGTTCACGGTGCCAACGTATACCAGCATGTTGCTTGGGCCAGTTGGAGTGGCCAGCTATCTCCGTTCCTTGGTAACTAAGGAAGACCAAGTGAAGATGAACGAGGTAGATGGGCTAAGCCTCTTCAACAAGGCATAGCAGGCACTGAATCGGGTATACCTTCTTTCCTTTTCATATTAATAAGTTCATATTGCCTTAATAATTTCCTAACGATTTTTTTCTATATCTCAAGCCTCGGTGCTTTACCATGAAAGCTTTCACTGGTCCAGGTTAGATGTGAGTCACTTCGAGTTCGAGCTCAAGGAGCAGGTCCGGCAAACAGATATATACAAAGCTCTCTATGAGCAGAAGGATGAAGTCCTTAAGG